CGTGGTAGTCCTGGAAACGTACCTGTTTATCTAATTGTTGTGGGGTAACGAGCGAAGAGGAAGAGGGGTTATTAGTAGCTTGCGAGTTATAATCAATTTCATTTGTGATGACTAATTGATTCAGTACTTCTTCTTGACGAGCATGTTCCAAAAATTTACTTGGTATAGCTGGTTTTTGTCGTAAAACTTCTTTTATTAATGACGGTTTTAATCCTTATTGTAGATGATCAAGTTTAGACGCATTCGTCATTTTATCATCGACAGTTTTACAGAGACGTATAATATCTGTATAATAAGCAGTGACTGATTCATTCCATCCTTGTTTACGAGTACGAAGTTTTTGAGAAGCAATTTGTTTGGCTGCTGGTGATGAATAAGTAGCTCGAAGTCGTTGAAGAAAGATATCCCAACTGTGAAGGTCCGCACGATTATTTAAGTACCATCCTAAAGCATTGTCACAAAGAAAACCTGGTACAACTTGTAATGCCTGACTTGGATAGAATTTTGCCATATCAAAAGAAGCGCTGATATCCCGTATCCATAACTTCACATCTTGCTCAAATTTACCTGTAAATTTTGATGCAGATATTATATTTTTGACGATCACGTCTTTTAAAATTTCTTCAGCCATCATGAATTTTCGTGGTTTATAAACAAATGTAGATTGAGCTGTGGAGGTAATATAATTAGTTCGTTCAAGATCAATATGGGCAAAATCAAGCAAATGTTGATGGAGAATGGCTTGTTCACCGGCTCTTGTAAGGACCATATATCAACAATGGAAATTGGGCTAGTGCACCATTGTTACATTCAACGTTTAATCTGAATCTCCCTCACAACAAAAAACCGCTGACTCCCATGTCAGAAAAAAAAAACGAATACCAGAAAAACGGAAAAGTAGTTCCCTTTTATCTATATCAAGGAACACTGATAAGAAAAGCGAAAAAGATGAAAAATAATGACGAAAGGAATGCATGACACACTAACAACAATAATCAAGGAAAGAATGACAAAAGGCATGCATGACACACTCACTAAAGCTTTTAGGAATGCTGGCATTCCTAACATCCACCAACTTCCGGCATGTTCCGATGTTGGATCCTGCCGAATCCTGACGCCGGAATAGACGACCTGGGTTGGAGTGAATATACAGCTGCTAGACAAAAAGGAAGTGTGTGCGTATACAGCTTTGTACACGGTGCGAACTCTCGATCAAGCGATTTCAGCTTAAAATCGGCTTTTTTTAGGGACATTTTAGAAGACCCCCTTCAAAGTTATGAGCGCTAGGACGCAATATAAGACCCGGGTCCTCTATTGTGTCCATCCCTTTAGAACTAGTTCAAAGCTTTCAATCAATTACATTTTATGTGAATATTGTTAAGTATTTGTGAATTAAAAAATGAACACGAGGAAAAGCTATAAGATAATCGAAGAATATCCAATCCTAACTTAGGTTATGACCCTTATATGTAATAAATATTATTGACTTTTTAAAAAAATATTTTATTAAAAAGTGATTATCAGAAAAGAAAAGTAGTATGTGTATAGTAATTAGAAGGAAACAACAATTAATGTTTGGCCTTTCAATGAAAAAAACTAGCTACGTTTGAAAATTTTTCAGTAGGATTTTTATGATTCTGGTTCCGTGGAACTGGCGGTTAGTTTCAATTTTAAAATTTAGAAATTCATTCTTTATACTCAATTTTCGATGGCGAATCAGCCAAAAATAGGTTTGGAATTTTAGAAATACAATAAATATGAAAAATTTGCTTATTTTCGAAAAATGGGTATTTTTAAATTTTCACCAAAAAATGACTTACTTCTTAAAGTGTGGTATTGTGTTTTTCTAATGCAACTTGATGAGTTTTATCCAATCATGCCCTAACGGCCGAAAAAAGGTCTTGCTGTAACTTTGAATTACCAGCACCCTTAGCCCAAGTGTATAACAAGAAATTCAACTTCGTCTATGAAACAATTTACTCTACAAGAAACAAGTATTCATCTTTTGCTTTTCTTCCTTATTAATTCAAAACGAAACAAAAAGCCTTTTTCTCATTTCGATAATTCTATTTTTGTGAATACCAGTATGAAATGTTAAGCGAGACAGTGGTTAGATGTGTCTGTAAAAAATGTCTGCGTTGTTGAGAGAAAAACAGAAGATGTGATACAGTACAACATTACGTATAAAGAAGCTTAAATCTCTTTTATCTTACGAGTGAACTTTTGGACGTGCCCAGCTCCGGTTATATATAATAGTCGTGTAGTAAAGCACATGTTTTTATAAGAAAAAAAAAGTGAAACTATTCAGTATCGAAGTAATCAGCTGTATGATGAACATATGGTTCGAATATTACAAGTAAATAGGGTTCTTCCCATAAATATGAGAAATAGTTATTTCTTGTTCGATTAGAGAGAATCAAAAAAGAAATCAAATGATCTAGATCCTGCTTATGGTCAACAGGATCCTTGCCTTTTACGAAATCTGTCGTATTTCAATATTGGTCCAAGTTTTACTTCTGATTTGCTTCATAATACATATTCGGGAACGTTCGTAAGGATACATACACTGATTTACATAATTAGTATTATTCACTTATTACTATTATCTAATAGAAACGTTCACTAGACATATGGTTCACAAGTCGTGGTAATTCATACTCGATTAATAAAAATTAAATTTGATAGAAAAAAATTGGACGCGACCCAATATCCTACGACCACATATTATTTACCATCGTAACTGATATTTAATTTTTCACTGATATATGTGAGTGAAAAATAGAATCAGAAATCTTTATAAAAGTCAACAGCTGGCAAAAGCTATATATTCTACATAATGCTGTTTCGAATGTCTAATGTTTTGAATAAATAACGCATCTTGTTTAATTCCTTATCGAATAGTCTAGCTCAATGTAAACTAAGTACTTAGCGTTGACCAAAAGTTCGTAGAACGGTGATTCCGCCCTTCTTTCCTCACACCATGATCAAAACGTTTGGTCAGCCCTAAGTATATTCTGATAGCGCTGGAAATTCTCTATCGTCCTATATATTTGTCTGCTGTCTTGCATTTATCTATTGCAAAAATAACTTGAGTACAATGAAGATACCCTCAATTGACAAGCGTGCCTGCATGATAGTCAAATTATTCTTCAGCACATAAATGCAAGATAAGACAAAAATATACAGGATGATAGAGAATTTGAAGCTCTATCAGAATGTCTAATTCCTTTTATAAAAATTTATTTCCATAGTATCTACAATTCGAAAAAGCATAAAAAGCAGCGAATTTTCGTACTTGTCAATTGAGGATATCTTCATTGTACTCAAGTTATTTCTGCAATAGATAAATGCAAGACAGTAGACAAATATATCGGACGATAGAGAAATTCAAGCGCTATCAGAATATACTTAGAGATGATCAAAGGTTTTGATCACAGTGTGAGGGGAGCGAGCATCATCGTTCTACGAACTTTTGGTCAACCCTAAGTAGATCAGGAAATTGAATCTGAAATCTGAAAGAGTTCAAATTGAAATTTTCGAACTAAAAAGTGCGTTTTTATAAATTGTGTAGTTGATATTTATGATCAGTGTGAAGCATTGCGTATAGTAATGTAATTTTGAAGATGAATGAAGAAGAAAAATGTTAAATACTTCACCATCGAAAGGGCTCGTTACATGCCTGAGATCATAGATTTAAACATTTTTTTTCCTTTTATCTTTAGTTCAAATACAACACTAGAGGTTGGTGCGATTTTAAACATGTTCAGTCTGAACATTTTGTTAGCTAAAAATCTCATTGAACTGATAAGAAAATGCTCCATTTCTACGTTTTATTTGCCTGAAGAAGAGTGATGAAACAACTATTCTCCTTGAATATGTCTGTTTTTTTAATTAAGGCGATTTCATGGAATTACTGTTAATAGTTTCTCTTTACTATTTGATTTCTGTCCGCTCCAGATATTCTATCTCTTTAAGGAAGTTTTTTATTAACTAACAACATGAATTTTCTTTTTTCTTTAATCTCCTGACTATGTGAAAAAGGAAATTCTATTTCTATTACCTTGTCTTCTAAAAAAAAACAAGCTTTGCTTTTTTCATTTTTCGACAATTGACAATTTGACTGAATTCGTCACATCTAGAATGTCAGTATCGGTTATCGTTATCGTAACTGATGTCTATGTTAAGGCTGAAAGCCTTGAATATATCAGAAATATTTTATATGGCTTGATGGAACCGTCGGAAAAAGAAGAAGGTTGTATTCGATGTCGTCTCTTTGAGAACATGGCGGATAAAACTCATTTTACGTTTATTTCTCAATGGAAAACCGAAGATGAATACGACAAGTATTTGCAGGCGAATTATATTGTAAAAGCTGGCCAGGATGTGAAAAATCATTTATTAAAGGAAGTTGACAGCAAAAGATACAAGTATATTCATAATTTGGAAAGGAAGAAAGAAGAAACAAATAATTCCAGTGGATTTTGTGCTCTTTTGTAATGTTTATAAATACGTGTAAATGATTTACATTTAAACTAACAACTATTATTAAAGCAGTGTGTGTAAAATATACAACAAATTCTGTCAAATAGGTTTCCCATAAATGCTACCGAATAGTTGGTGTTCAGATTGTTAGTGAAATTTTTATCAGCATACCTGCAACTGCTTTAAAGATTGATGAGTTCTTTAGTGATCAGTTCCCATTAACATAAGAACGCTTTACTACTTTTAAGCAGACGCATAATTTGTACACTTACGAAGACCAAATTGAGTGGAAGAAGAACGAAGATAAGCAAGTAAGAGAAAAACTAACTCTAAAAAATTTGACCGTTTTTTAAACTTAAGTGCTCTGCATTAAAGAGTAGTATATGTAGAACGTCTGAGATAGTAAAATGTTATTTTATTAGAAATAATATATACACATTATCTTCGCTAAACACTAAAGACACATTAAGAACAGTCGAACAGAAAGATTGACATTAAAAATGATCACTTGAACTGGTCTGTTAGAACAGGTCTGTTGTTGTCAAACCTTTAGGATGTTCCTAGAAGTCATTTTCGAGTTGAGCCGAAGGTTCCTCGACTACACGAAGCTTGTTTGTATATTATTAGTGGGAAACTTTCTAGAGATTCTCAGTTGATCTTCTGCTTCAGATACCACACATTTCTGTCCCTTCAGACTTACGAGGGAAGGCCACCAACTGCCTCCTTGCTTTTGAGCTTAAACTCAGTTGACAATAGGTAATCGAACGTGCTGATTCCGAATATCACAATGGTTTTTGCCCGCTTTCGATTTAAAGACCCGTTTTTT